ATACTTTTATTAACATTATCAAACATTGATGAGCATCATAGTCTTTCTAACAAATTGAATGGGGTTTCTGACTCATTAGTATAGTATATTAGTATAGTATAGTATATCATATTAGTATAGTATACTAGTATAGTATACTAGTATAGTATATTAGTATAGTATATTAGCATAGTATAGTATAGCATATTAGTATAGTATACTAGTATAGCATATTAGTATAGTATACTAGTATAGTATATTAGTATAATATAGTATGCTAGTATAGTATATTAGTATAGTATATTGGTATAGTATAGTATAGCATATTAGTATAGTATATTAATATAGTATATTAGTACAGTACAGTATAGCATATTAGTATAGTATATCAGTATAATATATAGTATAGTATGTTTCATTTAAGTTGACACCAAAATCTAATAGAAAAATAATTTAACACGTATTTTAATATTTCGTTTGGAAATTTAAATGTCATTATTAAAAACATACTCGAAAACATACACTTTGAGAAAATGTAGAAAAAAGAAAATTGATTTCTTTAAACCAGATTACAAGAATACCTCCATTCAACGTTAACTTGTTTGTCAGATAATTTGCTGTGGTGTCAACTTACATAAGACATCCTGTATATATATAAATTAAAATAAAACAAAAATTAAAAGAAAAAAAGAAGAAAAATTAAATAAAAAAATTAAATTAAATTCCACAGAAAGAGATAAAATTTGGAGGGGAATCGAGGAGTGGGGGAGGAACCTTAAATTCAAAATTTCAACCCCGGAAACTCAGCAGTTTTCGAAATATTAATAAAAAACTTTTGGTACAATATATCGAATTTTATGTATGCGTGTACGGCCCTGGCGGTGTTAGATTATTCTCCGACTGACTTTCAGTTACTATCTCTGTAAATGCTTCACGACAGTCGGTAACTAATTATGTATTAGTTACCGATTACCGATATGTATATAACAAGTAATTAGTTGGAAAAGTATCACAATTGAAATAAATACTGTCTTATAAATCGAATGAAAATAAACTCCCAATGAATTTTCGAAATTGCGATAAAAATTTCATTTCAAAATTTCGAAAATCGAAAAGTTATAGTAAATATTAACAAATCGTGCATGAACATGAAGTAGATTATAGTCTGCATAATAGATAATGCAATAATTTTCTCAATTATTATCACAGCAGTTGAAAATAAAATAAATATCTCGAGATTGTTTAAATAAATATCTTTTGTCAATTTTCAATTATTTCTCACAGACTTTGGTATACACATAGCTGATAGGTATATTTCTAGTACGTTGAAACGATTTGAATTTTTTAATTTCTCAAATTTTATTCAAAACGTAAACTATTATCAATGTTTATTCAAAAAATATTAATTTGTAAAAAAAGCTATGTATATCTGTTTAAAAAAAGCGAATTTTTATTTAAAATAGTGTAATTTTACCAATATTTCAAAATTTTTAAATTAATCTCTGCCTCAATGACTTAAGTCAATGACTTTAAGTTGATTAAATTCCATTCTTTCTCAGCTTAAATAACTACATGAATCAAACTTATCGACAGTGTAGTTATTATTAAAATGTATAAATAAATTTATCAGAATTCGCAGATATATGAGTACTAAAATATTATTTTTAAATAATGTATAACTGTCATTCTTGAAATAGAAACAAAATTTAATTCTTAATTTCTGAAATTTCCGAAAAAGACCTTAATCTCGCAAATTCAAAAATATAAAATTAAATAATAATAATAATAATAATACAAAATTATAATTACACATAATAATCAAAGTACATAAATTAAATCGAAAAACAGTTTCAAAATTATGTAAGAGAAATTGGAAAATAATTCAACGACGTATTAAATTAACTCTGCAAAAAAGAAAGTAGACATTTATTTTAAATATAATGAAAAAAGTTAAACACCAATCAAGCATTTTAGTTCTCAAATTTCAAAAACTTAGAAAGTGGAATTTTTAGTGAAGTAAAGGTCTCGTATGGTATAGTACATTTATTACAAATACAAACCGTGGTGGCGCTAGTGTATTCAATGGAAAGTCGCCTTAACCTTGCCTAGTAAAGAAAAGATTAATCAACATTCCATTCAAACTTTATTTTCTGATTAATAGTGTTTTCGGCTAATGCAAGTTATATTTTTTTATTTTTTTATTAATCGTGTTTTCGATTAACGTAATATTTTGTATTCGAATATTTTTGAATGTTTGTATGATAATAAATATACTATAAATACTGTATTATGACTGAATACTGAATTATTTTCCAATTAAAAAACTCTTTGGAAATAAAGCATTTTTCAAAATAAGTCCTTTTTTGATTTCTATTTACTGTTATAATTTTACTATTATAGTTTTATTCTATATTTAATATGTAGTTTATGCTATATTATTTGCATAAGTACTATTTCTATTTTAATTATTTTAACTTAAATTTATTTAGTAATTATTTTTGAATATTTTTGCTATGCTAAATTTTGAATAAGTAATTTAATAATTAATAATAATATAAATAATTTAATTTGTTATTTACTTTACAGAAAACTATTTGAAATAAACAAATAAAATGTATATTTCTGCTGTTTATCATAGATGTTTTATTATTTTAGAAAATGAGAAATTCAATAACGAAATTACAAACAATGAAAGAACAGCAATTACTTGTCGAGTAGCGTGATGTCCGAATATTAATGAGTCACTCTATATTTCTCGGTTGCTGCTCCATGACATAAAACCTCTTTCGCAATATCATGTAAATCCGAACAAAAAAAAAAAAAAAAAAAAAAAAAAAAAAAAAGAAATGATTTCTCGTTCAGAAAACAGGAATGTTTCTTTCACAAGTTCAAATAGATCTGTCGAAAAATATACTGGAGCTTGACTTAATCCGACAAATAGTTGGCTATTTTTCAAATGGCGACGTGATACGATCGGTATGTAATATCAGTCGATCTAAATGTCAGTGAAAATCGTGGCCGGTATCAAGCGAAGGGAAAGTTGTTCGGGAAAAATAGAACTAGAACATTCGTTTGCGTTCGTCGTGCGTAATATCCCGCGAAATATTTCGTAAAACGTATCAGATAAGAACCTGAGCGAATATTTTCTCCATTTTTCTCGCTTTACTCCGTTGCCATTCATTTTGACGTTGCATACGAGATAACGACGTTCTTTCCGTGACGTTATATTATATTAGGAAATTATTTACACGCTGCGTCGCATTAATCGTTTAGTCGTTTTAATTGAGTTAGGGGAACTAAGAAATTGATTAAAACTACTATTTTCGGATGTTTTATTTTTGCAATTACTGCAATTTTTGCAACGTGCAAATGCTTCTGACATGATTATCATTGGCTTTTCATTCAGGTGGTAATGAACGTATTTATTATTATTATATTACTATTACTATTACTATTATTACTATATTACAGTATTATTTTAATATTATTTTTATGTATTGTATTGTGTTATGTTTATTTACTATAGTTTAATAATTTGGTTTAATCTATTTATTAATCTACTTATTGTAGTTTATATTTATTATCTATTTTTTGTATTTATTAGAATTTATTAATTAGTTTTAATTTATTTATTTATCTGCTTATTTACTTTATTACTTAATTCTGTTCTGTTTATTTATCTATTTATTATAGTTTATATTTATTGCAGTATAATAGCGTGCTTGTATTTCTTTTCTTGAATTATTATTATTTATGTATAATTTATTTAGATACACATTGCAGGTGCTATTTTATGGCCAGCGGCCATTGATCGTTTGGAAAAAATTTGTTAGTTTAAGACAGATGATAATTATATTATATGTATAGATCACTCTTTTTCACAACCTAAAAAAAAATAAAAAAAGAATTATCTTTTTTTAAATAGGAAGTTCTAAAAGTTAAAATTTTTTTAACGATTTGGTGTACTATTTTTCCCCATTTTCAGACTCAAAAATGCATACGAATTCCGACTTTTAAAATTAAATTCCATTCCCTATCCTTTGAACAGGATTACCTTTTTTTGTACTTTTAGACTGCGTTTTCAAATAGTTATTTTTCTTGTTGCCTCCTCGTTAATTTCCTTTATTACTTTAATTTTTGATAAATCTTTGCTGTCCAAATTTTTTATTCACATTGATTAATAAAAAAATTACCACTGTTTTTCAAAAAGCTCCCCTATACAATTGTATTTTTTGTCTTTTTCTATTTTGTTAATTTTTTTTCGAGAAATAATTATAGTTTATTAGTTCTTTAAAAATCTTTTATCCATTATTTAACTTTTTTCGTTAAATTTTTATAACATGAATCAAACATACAATTTACTTGATCTTGCCCAAAATTTAAAAGAAATTGTTTCATTGGATTCCGGGAAAATAGGTCTCAAAATTCGAAATTCTTCCAAAGTTAACATATGTGTTTAAATAATAAAAGAAAAATTGATAAATTTGAAATTCAACTAATCACGATATTCCACAAAATATTTTTCATTATTAATATTAACCTAAACATTGAATAATTATTATACATATACATATGTCATATCGTATAGTATATAACATATATCATGTAATATATAATATCAGTAATCTAAATAGTATATAACATATATCATGTAATATATAATATATAATATCAGTAATCCAAATAGTATATAACATATATCATGTACTTTAATTTTTAAATAGCATATTATTGTTATATTACACGATTGCATGCAACAGCGTATTGTATACATAATGACGCTATCCTACAAAAATGAACATAACCCTACGTTGTATACGTATGAAAACAATACTTATAATAACACTACCATGCCTTTGCATACATATGTAGATCGAAGAATTTTTTTAAATATCTTATCGCCTAAGGCAAACGTGTTTTATATGTATCAAGCATTTAATAACACGCTTTCGAAGGTATTCCATACTACCGTTTACGAAGCCTGTGGTGTGTAATAAAAACTCGCCTTCACTTTGTTTCAGATACACTCGTTCCCCGTGATATCCGACACAATGACATTTACGGCTATCCTGGTATCTTTATTGTTTGTTGCTATGGGTAAATCTTATCCCATATCCTACAGCGCGTACGATGAAAGAGATTTGTCTCGGGATCACCCACCGTTATTGCTCCTTGTTGATCACCGAATTCCGGACTTGGAGGTAAGATATTCTTACATTATTAGGATGCAAGTTGGGCGAGATAAAAGGAAGCAAAACATCAACGATTAAACGTAATAACAGTAATCCCAGAATGGATTTAAATAACAAATATATCACTTAATAAAATATTGGAAATAGATATAATTAATAATACATAGTAATGAACAAATATACGATAAATAGTTAATGAGAAATATATTATAAAATGAACAGGAAGGTGTTTATATACAGAGCTAATCTAATAAAGGTCGATACGTTTTTACTTAAAATTCAAAATTTTTCCGTACTTTGACATAGAAAATATTCTATTTAAAATAATGAAATTGATCTTGGAACGACTAAAATTACATGTATTTTTAAGATTATGCAACTCTTGTATAAGGAAAGGTTTTTGTACAACGCAGACAATTTGGTAATTATTTGGAATACTTGAGTTACGAGTTCTTCCGAAATAAAATCGATAATTTTATGAGACAGATAAAATAAATACGATATAATAAATATAAGAAATATAATAAATACGATAAAATAAAGTGGAACAAAAATCGTGACGATATTTACATTGGGTTAAAAATTAAAAGAATAAAAAAATAATTGTTTAATTCTTCGTACCCATGAATAAATTTTTCTATAAAAAAATTTGTTAAAACCAATTTTTCCAAGTTGTAATATTCTACTACACAATTTTAATAATAATGAAAGTAATATTCAAAATACATTGTATTTTGTCAAACATAAATAATTATCTTTTAGCAATAATATATATAAAATACACAACATTAATTTTACAAAGTACAATATCTATTTATATAAAAATGATTGAAAATACTAAATTTTATTGGGTATTTATTGATAACACAATATATTAATAGCACATCACGTAAAACATATGTAATACAAAATTTACAGTACTAAAATATTGTAGTATATAATAAATTATACGTGAAACTGGTAAGGTGAAATAAAATAGGTAACTAAATTGAGGATATATGTTACTAGATAGATACTGTGGACTAGGGAAATATCGGTAGCACGTGTTAATGTTGACAAGTATGAATCGTATAGTTTTAGAGAGGTTATGTAGTGAACTTCTAAGTAGTTATCCGGTTCTGCTCGAACCGGTCACATTTTTATTGAAAAGACAATTGGCCAGCAGAAAAATTGCCAACACATTTCGTAATCATTCACTTTCATTTGACTAAATGCACTATTTATCATATTGATCGGATTACGTATACCTCTCATAGGAGTATGTATATAAATATGTATGTACCACCTGTGTTGTAAGAAAGCTTACGTTATTCTATTTTCATCCATGTTGTGTTAATGGTTGAAAGCAGTTTCAATTTACAATTGTACAACTGATAACTCTCACATACTGTCGAATTAATTAAATAGAGACTCATTACCACATAGGTCAGTTAAATTTTACTGTATTGTATTTTTAGCTGTTTAGTCATTTCTTGACAAGTTAAGGAATTTGATGTTATTATTTTTCAAAAAGACAATTAGTAAAATATATTACATTATGTGCTTTTTATCTTACTCCTTACATAAGACATTTGATATTTGAGGTTACAATTTGTCAAATAAGCTATTAATAAAATACATAAAGTTGCGAATCTTATATTGTACTATAATAAAATATTTCAATTTAAGAAAAAATGTCATAAAACATAAGTCAAATTGTTAAAAAATGTCAAACTGTCAAACTATTAGTTAATTATTATCTTTAGAATTATATAATTAGTGTAGGAAATTTCAGTTTTTAATTATCAATCAAACAGTTTCTATGTAATTCTATAATAGAAATAGTCATTTGTAATTTGTTTTCTTTCTATTCTTTCTTGATTGTAAAATCCTAAATTTAAAGGTAGGATACTTTTATATACCTACATATGTAGGAAAGGACATGTATGTATAATATACATACATAGGTATATTTTCCTTTGTAAATATAATAATTTATTGATTAGAATGACTTAATAATAAATGACTGTTACCAATTTTGATTTTAATACTGTATTAATAATATTCGTAATAATTATAATATAATATATTATATTATTATACTATATAATATATCAGTATAATGATTTGAAAACAATACAAAGCTAACACAAACCATATACAATAATGCTAACTATAATTTTTTGAATTATTCTAAACAACAGTTTTATGACGAACAATCTTCGTTTGAAAAATTTCTCTCTTCCTTCTCTTCTTGTATCATAATTGCATGCAAGCAAACTCAGTCGTTTATGTCCTAATATGGCCACCGTTTCTGCGGGCCTCTTGTGTCATCGAACGTTCTTTTGACAGCGATGATTAGTGACTCCACCGATCTTCGCTTTCTCTTTCACAACCCTCTTTTTACAACTCTTTGCAACTGCAAACTACATTCTTAGTAAGCAAAAAAGTAGTATACCTTATTATACTACACCTTTATTCACTGGAAATAATTCTAAAGATATAAAATTTACTACTACAATTTCTCATTAAATATCGAATAATTTTTAAAACCAACCATTCACTATTGAAATCCATATTCTACACGTTAAAATCAGCATTGGTATTGGAACTATTCACCAATTTGAACGATATAGTGATTCCTTCATTGTTGTAAACCACGTGCGATACCGATACGCCTATACCAGTCTTTACACTTCGTAACTTCACATAGTGAATCATAGGTGTCGATACGTGTATCTCCACATCTCGTAGCGTGTATAGTCTGCTCTAGGAAGTTCGTTTTACGAGGTAGTTCTACAACAGGTATGCAAATTACAAAAAGTATCAACTACTTCCTTAAATTATTTCTTAAATTACAAATATTTTATTATAGTTAATATATTTTTGTTTACATTTTACTCTACAGAACATGGTATTTATTTAATTATTTAAATATAAAATTTTATGGTTATTTTCGACATCATATATATTGTATCTACTACCGCTGTTTTCACTTGACAGTTGTACATGGCAAAATCTACGTTATACATAAAATTTCTGATTCCATATTTTGAATGATTTGATGGAAAATATATTTCGAAAGAACAAAGGAAAATCGTACTTCAGGAACGACGTTTAATAGAACAAGATTGAAGTTTTAAAGGTCAATGGATATAAGCAAACTCTAGAACGTTAAGTATAGTTGACATACTTTTTCAAAAGAGTGGGTTTAAAATATCGAAATGTCGAAGTCGACCATTGATTTTGCTTTTCACACAGGATCCAGCTCAGTAAAACAAGTAATAAGATTATGTTATTTTATATTTTACATTTTTATATTTTATATATTGTAATTAAAAAAGAATATATATAAGAATTTAAGAATAATTAAAAAATCTTTTAAAATATTTATACAGCTAATTTTACAAGGAAATACGTTTTAGTTTATGAAAATTAAAACATCTTTTAATTAGTTTTGTTTAAAAACAAATATAAAACATTTCTCTTTTTTATAAAGCATTTGTTTGTACTGCAATTTTCTTGCATTAATTTGGTACAAATCTCATTTGTTTAATTATTTTTTATTTATCCCTTATTACTATACCAGTGAGAAATAAACATTTTTTATTTCAATTAAAGTTTTGTATACTTCTAAATTCTTATATTAAAATTTTATTTACTATTATTTAATTAAAGTTTTCTTTACTTTTACATAAATTTGTAGCTTACTGTAGAACTCCTCTATAAAAGAAGTATCAAATTTGGATGAACTATTTTTAAGTACACAATTTCTTATTACTTTATAGAAGAGACGTTATATTTAGAATGTATTAAATTCAGAACACTATAATTTTTTCAAAAAAATTATACAAATAACAGTATAAATTATTGACAAATATATGTAAATTAATGAATACTTTTTAACTGCAGAATGAATAAAAAATAAAAGACAGGTATGTGGATTGTACAATTTAAAAAAGTCAGTACCAATTAATCATATATCTCCTATCAAGCTAATATTATTTTTTCCTATTTATGTTATTTAAAAAATTTGTTTATTTCCCATCAATTTACTATTATTGAAAAATTCCTAGTAAAATTTAAGAAAACTTAAATATATTCTCATTGAATTTATAAAATTCTAGGAAACTTTTTAATTTTTGTATAATATTCTAAATAAAAATTTCATAGAATTTTCATTTTATTTAATAATAAAATGAAATTCTTTATCCAAAATCATTGTATTCTTCCTAGATGGATTTTGTAAACCTCCAAAATATAAGTATTCAATTTTCCCATTGAATAATTTTTGCAAAGATTACAAGAAAATTTATAAAATAATATTGGGATTTTTAGTACATCCAGTAAATATCTCTTTATTGGCAAATGAGGCCTAACATTATCTTATTAAAAAACAAATTTTTTCTTATTAACCAATACCAGATATTTTATTTAAATTATCTTTAGTACTCATATACTATCATTATTTTTCAGAATATAGTATTTTATTGGTTAACACTAGAATTACCAAACATTTTTATCATTACCAAAATTATCATTACCAAAAATATGCAACTGCAGTTGAAGAAATGAATGTTGGCTTTTATCCAGATAAAAACCTGATTGTACATACCTATTTATCTTCGCCATACCACATTAACACTAGAACAACCATGATGTTCAAAACGACTTATTTCGAACACGCTATTATTGCCATTGCTGAAAACATACAGCTGCTTTCGGTAAAAATTATATTGATTAAAAATCATACTGATTTTTGTTTAAATAGTGTCACAATTACGTATGCTCTTGTATTTTCATCATATCATATTAATTAATACCAATTTCGTGCATTATATTTAGAAATACATTACATACCAATAATTCTAACGTTAACCTTAACGTTATCTATATATACCTATATTACCTATGTATATTAGGTGTACATTGCAAGTTGGTATTTCTCGTGTTAACAAAAATTCGTTATAAATAATTTCTGTCCGATTCTCAACCCTTTGCACTCTGAGCAATTTTTAACCACTTGTGCT